CACACACCACCACCACCACCACCGCACAACATTCACCTCACCATTGTTACTTCAAGGGCTCAAACAACTGTTTAGCACACATAGTGTGCACTCTGTATGAAAGAGAACAAGACAAGGGGTATTACACAACCCGCTCTAGACGGCTAGTATGTTTTATGCTTCCTAATTCTTGCAGTATCCCGGTGCCCTATGGTACTTATGATGGAGTTAACGCTATGCAACGGTTGAGAGTCTGCTCTTATTGAGGTCTTCGTTATAAACTGAAACTATAATCGAATGGTGAAGACCGGGATGTAAGTCTTCTTCATCGCGTGTGTGTCTGATTCCCATCTGCTTTACATGAGGAAGGATAAAAAAATATATAGAAAGGGGAAAGGAGACTGGTAAAGTTTTCAACACAACTTTCATGGCATTTTTGATGGCTGCTAGCATTATTTCTTGTTACGCGAGGTTAAAAAAAAGCAGCGAGACAGGGAAGAAAGTAATATGGCTCTATAAACTAGACATTGGTAGAGATACGCTCAAGAGAAGCTGAATTTATCAAAGCCGGGCGAAATACACATAGGCGAGAGCGGCGTCAGGTTCAGGGCGATCATTTGGCTGTCGAATGAAGGGCTCTCTTCCGCCGCATCTGAAAACGGAATTGGTACGCTCTCTGCACCCCTGGAGTCCTGCCGCTGCACACAAGAAAGACAGAACGGGCAAAACGGAAAGGAAGTATAGATCAAATTGCCTGCTGCATGGTGCCAATTGATTATCCCCTTCTCAAGAAGCGTGATGCATTCAAACTATGCAGGACCAGGAGAAACTACTCACAGAACTCTAGTACAGATAGGTATAGTAAACTAGAGACACCAGACATACTCAAACACCAATGATACACTATGAATGACCGGCAAGGACACACCATGTACTCACAGATTCATACGCCGCTGATCCAGCCGCTGAGGACGATGACGATGGCTGCTCGGGACAAATGTCCTTCCACTGCGTATACAGGTCCTCGAAGAACGAGCCAGACCTAAGACACACACACACCATGTCAACAACAGCACTTGCCATTGTCTCAGAGGATTACAGCACATCGACTAACACGCTACTTGAACAGTCCCAGGGATGGTAGGTACAGAACACGACAATGCCCAGATACTTACTGTTTCAAAAGGTAGGGGTCAAATGGGAAGAACGACCCAAGATGGATGGCTTTGTCATTATTGGCATCGACGCATGCAGGTGGCATGACGATACGACGGTTTCGAGCCACGATCGTGTGACAGAACACAATCTCGTGTTTGCTGGGGACAACAGGAGAAAGACACACAGTGAGCGAGAGACAACAAGAAACGCAGTGATGCTCTGGCCTAGATGGGCTTTGCAGCAGTGAAGCAATCTGAGACGGTGGTGATTAAGTCAGGGATGTACCAGATTGAGTGCAACAGTAGGGGCATACAGCAACTGGAGATGGCACAGGATTGAGATGAGTGCAACAGTAGGGCATACAGCAACTGGAGATGGCACAGGATTGAGACGGGTAAACGGCAGCACACAGTGTAATGCAGCTCACCTTGTTATAGCAGCAAACACCTCCACAATATTACTCAAGCAAACCTGTATGCACACACACAGGTAAGAGATGCAAGAGGGAATGAGATTATGTCCTGTACATTGACCATGTCTACTACTTCGAGATAGAGTTTTAGACTGTGATTGAAGCAGTGACTTCCGCCGCTCACCTGACCCACGCACAAGCCAAGAGCATGCATGCTACAGTAAAACAACGCTACTAGGCCCAGCGCCAATCACAGGAGCTCCAACCCGTCGGGCACTGCAAGGTCCATAACTCTGAATCACATACATTTTGATTGGGAAAGGCCATAGATATGGCATGTGACGTCACTAGTTCCACAGAAAAGTAACACAGGAGTAGTAATATTTCCACTGAAGCTCGCCCAACGGGTGTCCCGGTAGACCAAAGTGCCCGTAACTTCGGAGTCCGGATAACCAAGGTACGAGTGTACTAGTACTTCGAAGTACTACAAACAAAAGGTGTATTATTATTCACGCTACAAGCAATTGGAAAACCTCTGCAGCATGAAACCAGGGTACTAAGTACATTGGTACAGCTGTGCTCGTAAGCAGAACAGAAAACACTCGCTTGAGGACAGCACAATCAGCTTGCCTTGAGAGGATTCAGACGGCATGTGACGATCCGTTCAAACTGCATGCTCTGCAGAAACGACCAACCTGTGCACGAGAGAGAGAGAGAGAGAGAGAGAGAGAGAGAGAGAGAGAGAGAGAGAGAGAGAGAGAGAGAGACACACACACACACACACACACACACACACACACACACACACACACACAGGGAGGGGGGATGAGATGCAGACAAATCTTTTCTATGGCATTGCAGGACATAACAAACATAATTATACAAGTGATTATATGACTACTAGTATACACCGTCATGTATTTACATGGATTGCCGGGATCCAGGGGATTCAGGGGGCTATCCGTAGGCCTAGCTACCTGTGCAACCAGACATCGACCAAACGCCCAAAGCACAGTGCCCACGGACAAGTACAACGATTTCCAAAATTGAGTCTTCCCGGGTTTATTAGGCAAAGTTCTCCGAATTTCGACTTGTAGGATAAAGGCTTCTCTTCAGGATTTCCAGGGATCAGATGACAACAGATATAGCAATAGACACTTACCATCGTCCATACCCAGCAGGGCTTTATGTCGATAAATAAAAATATATAGAATTGCCTGGAGCGGAAAAGAGAACAGAGTGAGAGCACAGACCCAATACACATAGCATCACATACCAGCCAAGCCATTGCACATACATACATACATACATACATACATACATACATACATACATACATGCACACTTGTGCCGGCAAACTTCATGTCAGCAGCACTCATACCCTGGAGACAACTAATATAGCGTTACAATGTAGTATGGTGTAAACAACTGCTACTGACCTGCACTACACTAAACAACTGCTACTGACCTGCACTACACTGAACAACTGCTACTGACCTGCACTACACTGAACAACTGCTACTGACCTGCACTACACTGAACAACTGCTACTGACCTGCACTACACTGAAGAACACGGAGTGAGCGTTGACGTCTGGTATTGACCGTGCTGAGCTGTCACACAAATGAATATACCTGACACACAGGATCACGGAAACATTGAAGAGACAAGTTGAATAGTAATAAACACTGGATGATTGTGAATAGTAATAAACACTGGATGATTGTGAAGAGTAATAAATACTGGATGATTGTGAATAGTATCAGTACTGTTAGGTAAGTAACAAAACATCACCCCCAGCACATAGGGATCAATACAAGGAGAGAGAGAGAGAGAGAGAGAGAGAGAGAGAGAGAGAGAGAGAGAGGGAGAGGGAGAGAGAGAGAGAGAGACAGAGAGACAGAGGCATACACACACAGGGAGAAAGAGACGCTGAGACACACACACACACAAACACACTTACTTGAGAACCCATTCTGACATCAGGTCGAGGCAAAGCGTGACCGTACTGAGCACAGAATGCAACACAGAACACAACAAGAGCACACAGACAGTTACACGACACCCCCAGGCCAGCAGGCCAGGCGAGAAAGAACACAACACACACAGACAAGGATCTTGCACTCCAGCTAACTTACTGCATACACTGCAGACATGGAGTGCTCTTACACACTACAGTGTACTAGTACTAGTACCGTACAGATCACATTGCTCAGTGTACTTGTATAGTAGTGTACAGATCACATTGATCACATTGCTCAGTGTACTTGTACTAGTACCGTACAGATCACATTGATCACATTGCTCAGTGTACTTGTACTAGTACAGATCACATTGCTCACACCGCATAGCCTCACCTCAGCGGGATGTACTTTGCTCTTGCCACAAAGCTACTCATGTACGCCGCCGCTGCCTGTCTCGTTACAGCACCGCCATTGACATCTTCCACCTTGCTCCAGAGTAGATGCAGGAAGCCCTCGGTAAAACTCTGCAGGACAAGGACAGCACACACACACATTCAGTACAAGAGATCATGGCAGACATGGCAAACTCATCCCCTGAAAGACATCTCCGGCCCTGCAACTGTACGGAAGACAGCGAAGTAACACCCTGCTACTGTGTACTGAACTCCAAAGCCATGCCACAAGATCCTGTAGAGCTTCAAACCACTTCTCGCATACGGCTATCAATACAGTAGCAGCCCGGTTCTGAGCTGCAGCACTCACCTGGTGTGCCGAACAAATATAGAAGATCAGAAACTGAACATGTGATGTGCCATGGGTCATCAGCAAAACTTTCTGGAAAACCTACACAAACACAAAGAAGCAGAGAAGAACATGGGCAAATTGACAGTTTGCAGACATGTTTTTGGCACAGCAGATACAGGCACACCTCTTAAAGTACACTTTTGGAACGCGTCGAGCAGCCCAACGTGATAACTTCTAACACAAGTCAAAGTAAAACACACTGCAAAGTGCAAACGAAGGATGGGCACATAGCAGGGTAACAATGGTCTCACGGGAATGACACACTGCAAAGTGCAACGAAGGATGGCCACATAGCAGGGTAACAATGGTCTCATGGGAATGACACACTGCAAAGTGCAAACGAAGGATGGCCACATAGCAGGGTAACAATGGTCTCACGGGAATGGCCTTCAGGTTTCACCCACCTTGCACAACGCTTGAAAGACAGCTGTTGCCCCATCCAAGTGGAACTCTGCAAGGAAACGGGATGCAACAGCAAATATCAGACACAGACAGAGGTTTCACCAACATGACGAGATAAAACAATAGGGAACAAGAAACACCTGCACTCAAACATATTCAGTTTGGTGGATACTGGATAGCATACATCAGGACCCCTCTCACACACACACACACACACACACACACACACACACACACACACACACACACACACACACACACACACACGTACACCCACGTACACGCATATCCACACAACAATACTCACCTCCACTGGCATGGTGACTGTGCTTTCGGATGAAGTTCACCATGTGCATCATGCATATGTCCAGTTTTTGCGCTGGAACATTTGCCATGGGAGCACACGCTGCATTCTCTGCAGAAGCAGTAGCAGCAGCAGAAGAGGCATCGTCTGCTGTGTCCTGAACACATAAGCAAACAAATACAATGTGTACAGGACAAATACAATGTGTACAGGCATGAGTGAAGCTCTAGATAGGGTGCTGAAAATGACCTGGTAGGCGTTCAAAGGCATTCAAACGCAATTGTTGTTGTCGTTGTCGCTGTAGTTGTTGTTGTCGTCGTTGCTGCAATAGTAGTTGTTACTGCTGCTGCTGGTGTAGTGCATGCAGTAAAATTCATACTATGCTTACCATTTCCAGCTGAAACACTGTCGTGGCACTTTCGTCTGGCTGTTTTAATTCCTCTTCAAGGTCCTCCTTTGATACATCAAGCTATCAGCAACAACACAGGGGGCACAGAAGTAAATGGTACCAGAAACAGTGTCAGAATCAAGCGATAAGAAAGAGTGAGCTGAAAATACAACGCAACATTTCAGATTCTACAAGAGACAACAAGAGTCACGGCTATACTACACACATTCTTCATGGGGGGGGGGGGGGGGGGGGGGGATGTTTCGAACAAGCTGCTTGAAGTCCTACACCACCAATATACATTGAAGCTGCTTGAAGTCCTACACCACCAATATACATTGAAGCTGCTAGAAGTCCTACACCACCAATATACATTGAAGCTGCTTGAAGTCCTACACCACCAATATACATTGAAGCTGCTTGAAGTCCTACACCACCAATATACATTGAAGCTGCTAGAAGTCCTACACCACCAATATACATTGAAGCTGCTTGAAGTCCTACACCACCAATATACATTGAAGCTGCTTGAAGTCCTACACCACCAATATACATTGAAGCTGCTTGAAGTCCTACACCACCAATACACATTGAAGCTGCTTGAAGTCCTACACCACCAATATACATTGAAGCTGCTTGAAGTCCTACACCACCAATATACATTGAAGCTGCTTGAAGTCCTACACCACCAATATACATTGAAGCTGCTTGAAGTCCTACACCACCAATATACATTGAAGCTGCTTGAAGTCCTACACCACCAATATACATTGGCCTCAAGCCTACATCAACTCAGAGGGTAGGCTTCAAAGCCATAATTAAATAGTTCGAGCAAATAATCAAAAAGCCCAGCAAGGCCATAGCAAAGAACATACCGTACTCACTGGATCAGAAGGCGGCGGGCTTCTATTTTCCCAATGGCAATTTTGAGGAGGCTTCTATTCGAGAGGGGCTTTTATTGTTTCAATGCATAACGGTAGTCCAATCAAATCCCTAATGTTCAAAGCAATTCTGCCTCCGGTTAGTTCACACGCACTGTGTCGGCCTGGATAGGTACCGTATCACATGCATGCACATGCAAGACAAGTGATCATGAGCTGATCCATGATGCAACAGACGTGCTAACAAGTAGTAACAACATATACTTCTTACATCCACTTTCATCAGATGGTCAACCAAGATCTCCACAATGTCACCCATCAATACAGGGAAGAAGTCGATCAGCCGCAGGCAATTCCGTACAAAGTGCTCCTAACAAACCACACAACACAGCGAACAGAAAGGAAGACTATAATGGAACCTTTTTTTTGCAGCCAAGTGTTTCCATACGAAATTAAGGTGACAGCTCATCAGAGAAGCAGAGGAGGATAAAGTCATCTCGATGTGTATAATGTATCAGTACACAACGAAAGACTATTCATCGGCAAGAACAAGACTTAGTTTTATGTACAGACAGGTTAGAGTCACAACTTCGGACTTTCAAGGGATCTCCTGATCATTGCTGATCATGATGCTAGAACAAGATGATGTCCGTGGTGCAGGGTGGGCATTAAAGCCCACACCGTGTGCAGTCGTGTGCATCATCTTACCTGTATCACCGGCGAGCGTCCTTTATACGGGCACACAGTGACCAGGTGCTGCTTAACACAGTGTAGACCACTGCAGGACAACAGTACAGGCAGCATTGGACAACAGTACAGGTAGCATTGGACAACAGTACAGGTAGCATTGGACAACAGTACAGGTAGCATTGGACAACAGTACAGGTAGCATTGGACAACAGTACAGGTAGCATTGGACAACAGTACAGGTAGCATTGGACAACAGTACAGGTAGCACTGGACAACAGTACAGGTAGCATTGGACAACAGTACAGGTAGCATTGGACAACAGTACAGGTAGCACTGGACAACAGTACAGGTAGCACTGGACAACAGTACAGGTAGCACTGGACAACAGTACAGGTAGCATTGGACAACAGTACAGGTAGCATTGGACAACAGTACAGGTGGCATTGGACAACAGTACAGGTAGCATTGGACAACAGTACAGGTAGCACTGGACAACAGTACAGGTAGCACTGGACAACAGTACAGGTAGCGCTGGACAACAGTACAGGTAGCGCTGGACAACAGTACAGGTAGCATTGGACAACAGTACAGGTGGCATTGAGCAACAGCCACAATAAATACACAAAGCCATTGAGCAACAGCCACCAATAAACGCACAATGCCATCGAGCTACAGGCAACAACAAACATACAGTACAGGGATGAATTTATTGTCATAATTTTGCATAGCAGTTTCTGCTATACAAAATCACAATTGTGTAGCAGCCTTTGATTTTGGTGAGCATTGTTCTTTGAAGGTTGGGTGTTTACCACAATGTCCTTCTTGAGAATGATGCCTGAAAGCGCATTTGCAAAAAAAGACTGAATCATACATGTGCACGCAGATTGAGAGTGCCTGCACCACATACACTGCACTGTATGCATGTTACTTGACAGTAAAGGCTAGGCATAGACAGTTTGTATGTATCGCAGTTTTCTGCGAGTCACGATGACTTTTGAGTAGCAGTAGATCGATTTTGCATCGCAAACTGCGATGCGATACAGGATAAATTCATGCCTGCAGTACCATCAAGTAAAACAGCTACCGAGATACACAACACTGTCCAGCCACAGCCACCAGCAGAATATCATGTCTTTCTACAAGCAGCTAAAGAGTTTGGACAACCAATCAAACACCACCACGAACAAAGCACCCGGGCAAGAGCAAGGATTTCGAGAGGCGGAGGCTCTCTCTCTGATAGACTTACACAGGTACTAGATCAAGCAAGTGACTCAAGCAACTCATAGAGCGCTCAAATGCAAGTTGATTTTCTAAAACACACAAAGAACATCAACAGCACCGGCAGGTGGGTACTCAGTCTAAGTACAGCATACATGCACGTAATTATATTCATCAGTTACACAAAGTGTCTGAAGTCCTTGCTGCAAATAGTGCACAATACCCTAACAAGGGCAGAGCGTACTACAAAAAGCAGAACAACAGAGACCAAAAAGCTTTCTCGTTACTCCGAGTTTCGTGTTCAAAAACACTCAGCAGTTACATGTGAAAAGCTTGCTGTGTTCTCGCAGTTAGAGCACTCTGAAATTGCCGATTTAAAAATTCTTTCCTATTCACTAGACCTTATTGTGGTCGGTTCGGCCAGTGACCCTGAGCTCCGCTGATGAGACCTAACAAGGTTGAAACAGCTAGCTATCCGCAGATTGAGTCAGCTGCATGTATATACTTTTCGTTGCTACTCAGCACAAAAAGGCCCTCACATGAAATAGCACACATATATACACACACGTGGCAGATTCCAAGTCCAACTTACGCTCTTCCGACCGGTCTTCATCTGAGAACACAAGCGAGCAGGAGACGGAACACACGCATGCATACACCATACGTGTACGCACGCACACACACACACACACACACACACACACACACACACACACACACACACACACACACATTAAGTATGAGAACACATATTCATAAGAACAGGTCGCAGGGTAGTTAGTGGTTAGGGTAGTAGCCCTGTGTGCACACACATACTCAGTTGGACACAGATGCACAAAGCCAGGATTACTGCCCAACCGATTGTCAAGCGGGCATGGAGTGCAGCGCTCTACCTAGCATCATCTAATCCATCTTCATTAGGTGCCGTGCTCAAAACCAACCGTTGACAGTACAACCAAACAGACAGTGCAAGGGCTGGGTCAGTGCTGGCCACTTCAATGGGTCGCATATTGCCAAGCCCAAGCCCGACACTCAACACACCACACTGCAGCGGTAGAGTCATGTGATCAGCAAACCAAACTACTGTACATGCACTACATTGCAGTAACATGCATTAGGAGAATCACAGGGTACAGGACCAAAATGTATGCAGCCCCAGTATAAACACTATTATAAACAGACATGTACATGTATAATTATGTACTTAGTACTTACAGTAGATGAAGAGTTTGACAAGCATGAAGACACATGGGCTGAGATACTGGGCATGGGCAGCAACCAAGTCGTGTAGGTATTCGGAATAGGCAATGACGGCATCTTTCTCCCGATAGGCCCAAGACAATTGCTAAGTATCAGAAAGAAGAGACAAAGGAAGAAAGAACATAGAATTAACACACACAGGTCAAGACAAAGAGAGAGAGAGAGAGAGTCGCCGATCCTGTGAAAGACTGACAGGCTTAACGAAGATTTAAAAAAATACCGGGAGTTATGACTTGAAATTTCCATAGCATCGATCGAATAGAATACAATGGTAGAACACAAGCGGTCAGTCACATGACCTTTGTGAGTGCGTTCACCCCGAATGGCCTGATAGACCATAGCTTCAATTGAAGTGCATGTACCTGTTCAAGCTTGATGAAGGTACCAGCACTAAGCATCGGGAGACACACAAGCTATGATTATTTCTTCTAGCCCTGGTTCTATGTATTTCCTCTCATACACACACACACACACACACACACACGCAGACACACACACACACACACACACACACACACACACACACACATGCACACACACACACACACATACACACACACACACACACACACACACACACACACAGACATACACACACACACATACACACACACACACCTTGACCTTGATCTTGCCCATTGCGTACGCAATGATAGTGAATGTCGGAAAGTTCAAGTGAGAACACGAGCGCAGAACTTGGCATGTCGTTTCAGGTCTCCTGGTCGACGAAATGGGCGTCCACAGACACAGAGAAGAGGATCAGGAGCGGGCTGTGGTGGTGGAGTGCTACTCGCAACTCGTCTCCAGCCGGGACGATCTTGGCAACTCTCAAGCCAGGTGGTCACGCCGAGGTCCGCCAGGTCAGTTGACACCACATCTCGCCACCTCTTCTTCGGGCCGTGACGAGGACGGGGGGGGGGGGGGGGGGGCAGGCAGCTCGCCGAACAACAATTGCTTCGGTGCGCGGGAGTCGTCCATCCTGCCGACATGACCCAGCCAACGAAGACGGTGGCGACGAATGATGCTGGTGATGTTAGGGTCAACACCGAATGAAGCCGCTAATGTGGCCGTTGTGATCCGATCATCCCACTGTTGACGACGGCCGATACCCACGATGGACCGAACACACTGATGGTGAAACATGTTTAGCTTCTGGAGGTGGCCTGCCTTCGTGGTCCACGTCTCCGCACACACACACACACACACACACACACACACACACACACACACACACACACACACACACACACACACACACCTTTGACGCCCATCGCCGGAGGCGATGATAGCAATGCTACGGCAGAAGCCATAGCAACTTGTGCTGGGATTGCACCATTCAACAGCTTGCAAGGCTGAAGAATTGACCGTCACTATTCAGCCTGGTCTACACCATACAGCTATTTGAAGTGACTTTTTCTGGCCAGTGAATCCCTATTTTTGGTCTTTTTTTCATCATCTTTTTTTTTCTTCCCGCGCACACATCACACCACATACTCCGGCATGCACTGGCTGTTGGTAACCACCCAGGAGAATGAAAGAAAAGTCAGGAAGAGTCTGAGAAAGAGACACACACACACACACACACACACACACACACATGCACACACACGCTCGTTTGTAAGTCCCATGGCGTCTACTCACCAGAGTTGCGCCGACCAGCTTGTCACAGTTCTGTCCAACCTTGGAGATGCAACAGCGGAGACCGTTTAGCCAGCGCTGCAGCTGCACGCTCTACACAGCAGAAAGAGACCACAGGTACATGTCACAATATAGCCAATAGGGCTTGAAAGTGCTATGGCACTGCCATGGCAGCAATAATTTCTGGTGAATGAAGCACTAGGATGGCGCTAAACTTCATGTCCGACACTCATGTTGAGCCAGAGCAGCTGCCAGGAAGCCCCTCCATGGCTTGGGCGAAAAAGAACAAGCTTCAGAATCGCTCCAAGTGCTGGTGAAGACAAATCTGTGACATTTCGTATACTTTTCAATGCGTGACCTGTTCACCACAATCTCGGGGTGAGCGCCGCTGGCGGGCACGGCATGGCACGGCATCCTTGAAATAGCTCTATAGAAACTAGGGTATATGGGTACTGAGAAATTAATTTAGTGCAGCAATAGCTGCACAAACACAATACTATAGGCATGGTTAGCATGTTACCGTTCACGCTAACTCCGACCGTCGGCGTGTACCGTTTTTTGTGTGTTTTCAAGACGTGGTTAGCAGGTCGGCTTCTGACGCAACGATCGACTTGTGACGTAACCCTAGTTGGAATCTTACCGTTTTGTTCTCCCGCTAAACAGAGCTTTCTATCGTCGAAACGGTACCAAACCGACGGTATTTTGGGTGTTGGGTACGAGTACCGTTGGACTTAGCGTGAACGATAAAATGCTAACCATGTCTACTGTGGTATCTCTTGGGCTGTATGAGCGCCGTACATTGCTATGCTACAGAGAACATGTCCTTGGAAACACAAACATGGGATGGGCTGCAGAAACATGTACACGTTCCAGTACACTGCAATCCCCTTTCCCAAACAAGAACTGCATGTAGAGACATGTCATCACTTACATCGACTTCTTGAGCGCATAGTTTGCTCACTATCACATCGTACTCGGAAGAGTCACCCTGTATACAGTAGAACAATAAAATAGCACAAGAACAAACTTCTATGATTGACACAGAGTCTCTAGCAACAGGCGATTCTAATTCGTGTGCGTACGTCAGCTTTTTTTCGAAGGGCATCGCCGATGATTTTTCCAGCAATCAAAGGTCCAGATACTTGTCCTGCGGACGATCGCTTTTTTCTATGGCTACTCATGACACCTCAGCAACTCACTCGATCCACAACATTGTGGCAGAGATGTGAATAGAACTCGTCTTTCGTCTCGACTGGGATTATGGCTGCGAACAGCTCAATACTGGGAAAGCAAGTCCTAGCCTAGTCTCTGACAACAAAACACAAACTGTTGAGTTACATTTTCCACCACGTCGATCTAGTTGAGAACTTTGAAGTAATCATCAATAAACAAACTGCATGCATATCTAGCTACTCATCAACCGAATCATGCCATGGCCATGCGCCACCCACGTCCACTTGAAATAGATGAAGTCCCACACAAAAAAACACTCGACTGTGGAAAACTGCACACAGCTATAAGAGGACTTTCCAATGAGTCATACCATGCGGCCTATGAGGATTCGGGCCAAAGATCATCGAGTTCACCACCGATCACCGGACTTGAAACGGAGCTTGGGTGGCAAAAAAAGAAGACAGCACTGGAAGGAAACAGTGTTTTTCGAAAGCAGTTCCATTTTGCATACTGTAGTTTGAGAATACCAAAGGGCTGCTCGCGATCGGATGTTCCCACACCTGGATCGTCTTTGAGTTGTTATCGTTTTCCCTACGATGGAGAACGACGGAACCAGTGGATGACGGACACACGACTCGAGAACTTCGCTCCTTATGCAAATACTTCGAAGTACACAAATATTGTTCCATCACTTCGTTGGCGAAGAGAAAAGTCATGATCATCCCCTGTCACCCCAGTACGTATCGAACTAACTAACCAACTTGTTCAGCTCATTTGTGGCAGCACCAGTAAAGGTGGAAACACGAAGATGATTCCGAACACTATCAACTTACTTGGTTTGTCGGGGTGCAAGGTATAGCTGGAGTTTGATGATTGATAGTGCTGATGCTGATGGTAATGACTAATGTACCCAGCTCTATGCACGTACCTCTACATGACTGGTGGTGCTAGCTATTCTAGTACTGGCCCTGGGTGCAACTCATCATCTCTTCCATGCCAGTGTGTATGCCTCATGTTCTGCACAACGTGTATTTCCTTTGTCATGGATAAATACTCTGATCGACCTACTTGCGCAATCTTCTTCTGCTTCCCACTTGGTTGCTGCGCTGTGCAGTTCTTCATCTGCTGCGGCACATACTAGTATACCTCATCTTCTGTCTTTCTGGACAATTAGGTACATGTATTCAGCTTCTTGATCTTCTTGTGGTGAGGATCATCTTGATCTTACTTCTTGTGTAACTCTTGCAAAGGCAGTAATGGAGGACACTCTACCGGTAATCAGCAACTGCTTATGGAGAATGCCAGGTCGAGGGACAACCAGGAAAAAACAATTGCTGTATTGGATGTGCATTCATCAGCGTGTTTTAAGATCAGGACAACTAAGTTCGCCACTACACCAACTTTTTGGCTACATAGGAGCAATGAAGATGATGGCCGTGTTTGACTTTGTCAGCTTTCGTGCTACCAGCCACCGCATGTCAACATTGTCATACTCGTACTGATAAGGAAGAAAAACCCACACACACACACACACGCACACACACACACACACACACACACACACACACACACACACACACACACACACACACATGGATACACTGACAGGCATGCAAAGCAAGAGAGACAGAGAGAGTCAGGCAGCGAAAGAGAAGTGAGACTACTTGTAGGTTATGGGCACGGTGCTCCAATTATTTCTGCCCAGCTGAAGTAAAATCCATGTATACTATTTTCGTGTAGTGTTCATTGACGGTGCCAGCCACTGGTGAGTGACCCTGTGGTGTAGGTGTTGACATTCAGCACACATCACATTTCAGTCTCCAATGTAAATTCAGTCAAAACAACACTGCACTGCAGCAACATGGGAGCATGCTTCTCCCAGGCCCACCATGCAAGTGCAGTGTGCGCCAAGAACAATTCCAGGTAATTCAGCAGCTACCCAAGGATGGACAAGTTCGGCAAAAACACTCCGCGAGTGCCTGACGTTTGCCAACGAATTTTGTTGACAGTTGTTGTTTCTTCCTTCGATTGGGCAAGACACGATAATGTGCCAACCCAGCCAGCAATGAGACACATGCATTTGTATCCATCAGGGCTATTGTAAGACTTTAGAGAGTCCTTTGCATATGTGCTGGGGACATTCACTAAATATTTAGAGAGGCCTGGATACCCAACGCAGGGGGATTGGCTGAAAGGTCTTCGTCCATAGGTAAATATGGGTAAATATGGATCAATGCACTGGGCCCACGGATTCTGTCAATCTTCTCGCGGCAACGCCTCTTCAAGGCTGGAATAAACAGTAGAGTAACTGCGGCTAGTAATCCTCGCGACTTACCGAAACTATTCACCACATCAAAGAAAAGCAAAAGTGCTTCACCACTGCGACGGCCTGCAACATCATTTTCCACCGTACACCGAACAACACATTTGATTCTCTTTTTGCCACCCAAGCACATTTTACCGTAGGACACGGACTTGTCTTATGGGTGATCTTTGGGTGGACACCGGGAAGGCGCCAAAAAGGTGATGTAATGGAAAGTCCTCTATAAAAAAAGTTTTGTAGCTAGCTCAGCGCCACTAGTCTAGCGACTGTCGCCATGGCTATCGCAACATGCAGGCTGCACCTCCAGCCCCAGGCCAGGGCCATGACCGCCCGGCCCTGTAGGCCTGTAGGCCTGCGCCTGCGTGCATTCTGCCTACCTATGTAGGCGCTTGGCAGAATGCACGCAGGACAGACATTAGAGAGGTTCCGCATAACGTAATTACGTTAGTAAAAAACGTAGTCGATCTACGGAAAGTCTTACGTAAACTGCATGCGGATCTGGGTTCCGCCATACGGAGTTTTCAAATCACGTAGCTGCCCTTGGCAACTCCGAACGCGGCAGTGTACGACCAGATCGACCTGGGGAGAGAGTCATAAATTTGTACCCTAATCCACTTACGGACCAGCTACGTTATCAGAGCCCTATCTACGTACTCTCCGTAGACAACTTTCCGTAAGTGCTAGTGGAGTGCAAACTCGCGAATTCACGGGTTTTTCCCACCCACTAACGTAAAGTTGCTCAACTTTACGTAGTGCGGAACCTCTCTATTTACGAAACTTCGGTACGTAAGGCCACCCTTTGTTATATACGTTAATTCATTGTTTAACGTCCTTTTTTTCGCGAAAAGGTACGCGGGAGGGCGGAAAAAAAACAAAAGCCCATTCCAAAAACTGGAAACCCCAATCAAACATTTTGACCAGTAAAGCATGTGATATATACAATACTAGCAGCACCCCAGGCCAGCGTTGCCTGGCCGAATGTGGCATGCGGGTGAAGCAAGTACATGAACAGCACACTTGCTCAGCACGTGGTGGTGGCCAGACCGCTGAAGTCCTGGTGAGGAAGGTTCTTCATGGTTGGAAGGAGAAGGAGGGACGTCTGTTACGCCTTCGGGAGGCTGGTCAGGGTTGTCCATCACCTGGTGGCGGATGAAGCGGCTCAAAAAATTCATAAACTTACGAACAAAAGTGCGATGCGCTCTTCACTGCAGATCAGATGCAGAGTGCAGTCAGTGCAAATCTTTTGTATCCTTTTGTTGCAGATGTTTCTGTTTGCAGAGAACGGTTCACGTGGTCCGCAGCGCTTGTGCGGCTGCTAGTGCTACCTAGGCCTAGGCTAGGTGGCTACATGATTCGCACGCTTCGCGTGCTCTGTGCTTCTGCGCGCGGCTGCTACTGCTACTCGTACTGATCGTGTCTGCTAGTATAAGCGCTACCACCTACACTGTTCGCACGCTTCGCGTGCTCGGTGCTTCTGTGGCTGCTTCCGCTAGCTACACGATTCGCACCCTTCGCGTGCTCAGTGCTTCTGCGGCCGCTAGCTACACTGTGCTACACTGTTCGCACGCTTCGCGTGCTCAGGGCAGCGCTGCTCCGCAGCGCTTCAGCGTGACATACACACACACGTCACAGGTGCCTCTTCTTTATAAGGAGCGTGACACACACACACACAGACACACGTCACAGGTGCCTCTTCTTTATAAGTAAAGATTTCTGGGTCTAACGGCACTTGCAGGCATAGAACAACACTCTTTGATGGTAGATCTACATTGGAGCACATGCCTGATGAATCCAACAAAATTGAAGATTCCGCAAGGACTGCTTGCAGTCTGATGTGGAATCTGAGTTACACGAGGAGTGGAGGCAGAGAATGTGACAGTGTGTTTGGCCTAATTCGCTCCTAAAACCATAGCAATTCAAAGAAAACTTTCAAACTCCGCCACCATATTACTCCCGAACTCCAGACCTTCTTTGGCCTTTTTCTTTGCTCCACATGGTGGACGTTTCTTCTTCGATTTATTTTTGAGTTATTGCAGTTTGTAGTCCGATTTGTGGCGTGCCCCTTTTTTATTTACAACTTCGCATACCGTAATGTCGCGTGCATAAGCCGGATTTGTGCATAAGCCTGTCTCGTGTAGAAGCATGAAATCTGCAACAGCTTTTCGCGTACAAGCCTGTCGCATGCATAAGCCGGGCCAGTACACGAGACGCGCCACGTGTCGCGTGCGTAAGCCGGGCTACTACGCAAGACTGGTGAGCGCGCCTTTTACATGTTCATGTTTGCATGGTACCGTACACTTGCGAAAAAAAAGAAAAAAATCCCGTTGGAAAATGTTGGTTTTGACGTCCAAAAGTCAGCAGTTTGCGCATACAAGCCTGGTTATTGAGTGGTGCTTGTCATATAAGCCTGTCTCGTGTATAAGCCTGTCTTGTGTACAAGCCTGACTCCATCACCGGCTTATAGGCATATAAGCCCCGGCTAATGCACGCGACATTACGGTATTATGGGGCTGTTAAGTGTGACGTCACGGCTCCTTCGATACGCATAGCAACGGAGAGCACTGGGGACAAACTGTTGTATGAGCCCTTTAGACCCGTACACATTCCCGTATGCACACACTTCCGTACGCATATACATACACATCTGCACATCCCTGTACACACATCCATTCATGCACTCCCCGCTGACCTTTGCCCTGCTGACCCTTTGCCTCCCTTACTGCATGCACCGTACCCCTTTTCCCGCTCACCCTGTCACTTACTGCATGCACCCCTTTTCCCGCTCACCCTATTGGCGTATTGCCACTTACTGCATGCACCTCTTTTTCCCTCCATAGCTTTCGTTATATTCTGAAGGCTGCGCTTGCGCAGTGTAGTTCTCGTAGTTAGTTCTCCTAGTTGATTCT